CCAATTCCCTAATTTCTCAATTTCCCAATTTCATAATTCCTTGATTTCCCAAACCCCTAATTTCCCAATTTCTTAATTCCTTGATTTCCCAAATCCCTAATTTCTCAATTTCCCAATTCCCTAATTTCTCAATTTCCCAATTTCCCAAATCCCTAATTTCCCAATTTCCCAATTCCCTAATTTCTCAATTTCCCAATTTCCCAATTTCCCAATTTCCCAATTTCCTAATTCCTTGATTTCCCAAATCCCTAATTTCCCAATTTCTTAATTCCTTGATTTCCCAAATCCCTAATTTCCCAATTCCCTAATTTCCCAATCCCCTAATTTCCCAATCCCCTAATTCCCCATCTCAATTTCCCAATTTCCTAATTCCCTGATTTTCCAAATCCCTAATTTCCCAATTCCCTAATTTCTCAATTCTCTAATTTTCCAAATCCCTAATTTCTCAATATTAAACAACGCACTAAAAGATAAATAATAATTTTGTACCTGACACGCTATGTCACAAGCTTACAAAATGTTTGAAGTTCCACGCGAAACTAAATTATTCAAATTACTTATAATTGCAAGTATTTAATTACTCAAATTAAAAGTGCAAATAGCTGTCATAACTCATAAACTCCAATATTATCTACTAATACGGTATAACTAGTATAGTTAACGAGCTATTCAAAACTTCGAGCACACTTAATAAAATAAACTATTCTGGTACTCTCTTCTCTCAACTTAAATATAAAAATAATGAAGTATGCGACTGCTAACAAAAATTAGCTAAGTTCCAATGTGTTTCTATACATAATACGCCGGAATCAATGTAGAAGAATTTTCAGGAAAGTTTTAATTGGAATAGCAACTTTCGACGGTGATATATGCGGTCCAGAAAAACGTGTTCCTTTATCATTAAAAAAAGAGTCGTTCACCGCTGAAAATTTTGCTTTGTTACGAAACATTTTATTCAATTTAAAAACTTTTACTATGGAATCTTTCTCCGCTATTGTTCTAAGATCTTTTGTTATGAAACGTATGATGTTACGGAATGGGGTCACAATAGTATTATTAATTTTACTTATTGTGCAAGGAGTCTCTGATTTACGTTCTGTCCTATTTCTGGGGGAGTAGTTTAACTATTAAGAAAATTTACATTTCGCTATTTTGAACAAATTTAGAATTTTTAGGTTTGAATTTTTGGATACAATTTTCGCAACTTTTTAAGTGTTGAACCACTTAAACCTGGTTGCAGTAGGATTTTTTAAGTTGTCTCAATACTGCACTTAACAATTTTTTAATTGTCTGAACATTAATTAAAATAATTTCTAAATTGTTTAAGAAATTATTTTAGTGTTGATATAAATTATTTTAAGATTGTTTAAGTATCAGGTCTAATTTGAAAATTTTTTAAATATTACTTTTGAAAATTTTTAAATTGATAAAACAACATTGAAACTGTTTATGTTAGAATGATTCTAAAATTGTTTAAATACTAGGTCTAATTTGAAAATTCTTTAAACACTAATTGTGACAATTTTTAAATTACTATAAGTGTCAGTACTAAAACCTTGCAAGTTGTTTCAATATTGGATATAAGAATTTTGAAATTGTTTAAGTTGTAGATACAACAAATAAAAAATTCTTTAAATATTACTTCTGACAATGAATAAATTCTTCAACCAACACTATTTAACTGATTTGTATACATATATTTGCATATTAAATATAAAGTAAATTTAAAAATAAAGACTTCAAAGTTGAGTATAATTTTATTTAGTTTTAAGATTTGAACAATTGTCTACAATACATACTAAATGTATTTAAATTTTTCAAAGTAAAAATGTTACTACTTCCCATTACTAATAATTGAAAAAACAAATTCAAATTATAATTTATTGTTGTAACAAGAGAGAACAACTACTCGTTAATATTGTAATATTATACTAATACAACAATATTATAATATTATAACTTCATAGAGGGTTCCTTATATTTTTTTCTAGATGTGTTAATAAGACATCACTAAATCCCCTAATTTATACGTAAAATTCGATTTTTCTCTTCGAGTACACAATGTAAGTTCACATGTGCCTATGTACTGTACCAGCAATGATAATAATTAATCCCTTGCACTATTTTGACGAGTCAGACTCGTGACGCACTCGTACCTCAGTCGTGATCAATTTTACTCGAATTTGTAGTACGCTTCAATTTGAAGTTCAAGTCCAATTATAATTTGCATAGTCGACGATTGCATAATAACATACTGACATAACATTTCAAATTCTTTTGTCTGTGTTAATATTGTAGCTGTAATTAGTCAGTTCTGACTGACGCACTTGACGAATAAGCCATAGTGCAAGGGATTAATAATTAAAAATAACTTACCTTGAAGTCAGAGCGTCGCTCCATTCAGTTTCCACGGTGATACGAGGTTCACTGTTCACGTCGTTCTCCGAATGTGGCGACGTCACTACTGGCTGACTACCACGGTACCATGCTACTGTGCCCAGATCATGAGGTCCTTGAGACATCTGGCAGGTGAGCGTCAGAACGCTACCTGTTTTCACGTATACATCCGATGAGCCACTTATTCTTGCTCGTGCCTCTGTAACAAACATGGTTATTCATAATTAAGACGACTGTCAAAACATATAAACACTCAATACTCAGCATGGTGTTCATTTATCATTGCTCATGTTATTATTCACTTATCACTGCTCATGTTACTATTCGTTTATCATTACTCATGTTATTATTCATTTATCAATGCTCATGTTATTATTACATTTATCTTATTGCTCACTAATATTAATCATAAAATATTTAGTATAAGATCAAGGACTATATTTATATAATGCAAAGAAGCTTCATATGTGGACCTTGATGTGTCCCTGATGTGTGACACGTGTCTAAATGTAGCATGTGTAGATTGCTTGTGTGAATGGTGTGTATGTGAGTTTTCTGTGCGAATGTAACATATGAAGTTTCTTATACATACATATAATGCAAAGGAGCTTCATATGTGAAACTAGATGTGGACTTGATGTGTGACAAGTGTGTAAATGTAGCATGTGTAGATTGCTTGTGTGAATGGTGTGTATGTGAGTTTTCTGTGCGAATGTAACATATGAAGTTTCTTATACATACATATAATGCAAAGGAGCTTCATATGTGAAACTAGATGTGGACCTGATGTGTGACAAGTTTGTAAATGTAGCATGTGTAGATTGCTTGTGTGAATGGTGTGTATGTGAGTTTTCTGTGTGAATGTAACATATGAAGTTTCTTATATAATGCAAAGGAGCTTCATATGTGAAACTAGATGTGTACCTGATGTGTGACACGTGTCTAAATGTAGCATGTGTAGACTGCTTGTGTGAATGGTGTGTATGTGAGTTTTCTGTGTGAATGTAACATATGAAGTTTCTTATATAATGCAAAGGAGCTTCATATGTGAAACTAGATGTGGACCTGATGTGTGACAAGTTTGTAAATGTAGCATGTGTAGATTGCTTGTGTGAATGGTGTGTATGTGAGTTTTCTGTGTGAATGTAACATATGAAGTTTCTTATACGAACATGGTATGTGAGAATTGTGAAAATGTAGGCTATGAAAATGCTCTGTATCAATGTAACGTGTGATGGTTACTTGTGTGAACGTAACATGTGAAGATTGCTTATATGAATGCATCGTATGAAGATTTCATGTATGAATGTAGTGTATGAAGATTACTTGTATGAATGTCCTACATGAGAATTTTGTGAACGTAGTATACGTAAGAATTTTCAATATAAATATTGTAATAGTTGCTTATGGTAATATAATGTGTGAGAACGTTTTGTATGAATATACCATGTGTGTTTTATATTTCTATACATTAGATTACATTAAATCTAATATATGTATAATATATAGAAATTTTAAGTATCTGTTAATTATGAAACTAACAATAACGAAAAACAGATTCGGAACTAATAAATTATTTTAAAGCTAAAGAAAATTATTTATACCACAAATTGTACGAATTACACCAAATTGAATATTACAATAATATAAAAAAGAATATATTACCGTGTAGTCGATTGATAATACGAAGGGTTGAAAGTGTAATTGAGTCTCAAGATAATCTTCGTTACGAGCGAGAAAACTTGTTTCGACTTGTTCCGACAACAGTCAAGTTAACATTGAATCGGGCGTCTCAATGTTCGTAAACATTCGGGCCTTTTCCGACTTCGTCCGAATAACCTTATCTAGCATAGCTGTGTATAGCATAGACGATTTATAGTAGGATCACTAATATTAATTACACAATTTTAAACATGGTAACAGGGATTATGTTTAGGTAGCATGAGAGTCTCATATGTGTAGCATGTGAGTCTCATATATGGAGCATGTGAGAGGTGTATGAATGTAGCATATGAAAATCACTAATATTACACAATTTTAAATATAGTAACAAGGATTATATTTATGTAGCATGCGAGTCTCATATGTGGAGCATGTAAGAGGTGTCTGAATGTAGCATATGAAGACTGCTATGAACGTAGCATGTGTTTTCTGTGTTAACGCAGCATACGTTTCTTTGTATAGTATGTGAGAACTGTGAAAACATAGACTTTGACAATTTTCTACACATGTGAATGTAGTTTGTGAAGATTTGTAGTATATGAGAGTTTTTTGTGTGAATGTTCCATACGTGAATGCAATGTATGAAGGTTCCACGTATGAGTGTCTATCTGAATGTAATGTATGTGTGGCTTCTGTGAAGTAGTATGCGAGACTTTTCTGCATGAACGTAGCATGTGAGTTTTCTATGTGGACGTAGTGTATGAACACTGTAATGTGTAAGAATTGTGTGGACATATATGTAGATGATATACATGATGTATATGTAGATATACATAAGTAGACGATGTAGGTGAAGCATATATAGATATGCATACATATGTAGATGACGTAGATGATGTATATGTAGATATACATGCATATGTAGATGACGTAGATGGTGTATACATATGTATATGACGTAGATGGTGTATAAATATGTATATGACGTAGATGATGTATATGTAGATACACATATGTAGATGATGTAGGTGATGCGTACATAGATACACATACAGATGTAAATAATGTAGATGGTGTATATGTAGATATACATATGTAGATAATGTAAGTGATGTACACATAGATACACATACATATGTAGATGGTGTATACGTAGATGACATAGACAAACATTAAAAAATATTAAAGGAAGTGAAAATGTTAGACGATCAAAATGATAAAAGAGAAGGAAATGTCTATGAAGTAAGTTTGAAAGATACCCAGTTCCCAAAGCTGTGTCAATGTTAGAGCTATCCGATATCCGATACCGATAAATTATTCATATCGCGGGGAAATCGCGTCGTATATAAGCACCTAGTGTTCGACCATCCTGGGATTTAGTTCGACCTACTTTGTAATTAGTACGCGAATGGTTTCCTCGACACTGTACATTTATAATGTGCGTGAGTAATTACGTGCGATCGAAATTATCGTTCAGACCGAGAGTCAGAGGTCAAATTTCACCGTGACACGAACTATGCTCAGTATTCGACCTTTTCGTCGTTCCATTTATGGGTCACACTATTTTCCCGCTTTTAATCGTACTCTCTTTTCACTGCAAAAACTTCTTTCATTTAAACCGTTACATTTACCCGTTTTTATTGGGAATAAATGCTGGCGGAAATAAGGTGGAATAAAGAAAATAAGTAGAACAAGGGACGTACAAATAAGAAAATTATAAATATGATAATAAAAAAGAAAATGGTAAATAGAGGGATAAATAAAACGTTATACATCAAGATTCACATGTATGAAACAAGCAAACGACAAATGCAGTAATAAATGTAAGAAAATGATATATATAATAATACATAAAAAATGATGCATAAAACTTAATATATATGAAACAAGCATTTAATATATACAATAATAAATAAATAAGAAAATGATACATAAATATTTACATATATGAAACAAGTAAATAATAAACACTATAATTAATGAATATGGAAATAATACATATAATAACAAAAAAAAATGATACACAAATTTATACGTACATGAAACAAGCAAATAATAAATATAATAATAAGTAAATAAGAAAATGATACATATATAATTTTGTAAACTTGGTGAATTTTGTGAGGTTTGTGAATTTTATTAATTTTTTTACTTTTGTGAATTTTTTGCATTTTGTAAGCTTTGTGAATTTTGCGAATTTTATGAATATTGTGATTTTTATGAATTTTGTCAATTTGATGAATCTTGTAAATTATGTGAATTTTATGAATTTAGTGAATTTTGCTAATTTTGTGAAATTTCTGAATTTTCTGATTTTTATGAATTTTGTCTATTTGATAAATCTTGTAAATTATGTAAATTTTGAAAATTTTGATAATTTTGTGAATTTGATGAATATTGTAAATTTTATGAATTTTGTGAATTTTGCTAATTGTGTGAAACTTATGAATTTTGTGATTTTTATGAATTTTGTCAACTTGACGAATCTTGTATATTATGTGAATTTTATGAATTTAGTGAATTTTGCGAATTGTGTGAATTTTACAAATTGTGTGAATTTTGCTAATTTTGAAAATTTTGAAAATTTTGTGAATTTTGCTAATTTTGTGAATTTTGCTAATTTTGTAAATTTTGAAAATTTTGAAAATTTTGTGAATTTTGCTAATTTTGTAATTTTGCTAATTTTGTAAATTTTGAAAATTTTGAAAATTTTGTGAATTTTGCTAATTTTGTAAATTTTGAAAATTTTGAAAATTTTGTGAATTTTGCTAATTTTGTAAATTTTGAAAATTTTGAAAATTTTGTGAATTTTGCTAATTTTGTGAAATTTCTGAATTTTTTAAATTTTTATGAATTTTGTCAATTTAATGAATCTTGTAATTTATGTGAATTTTGTGAAAATCGAGATTTTTATGAATTTTAGCGTTAATATTTAATATTAATAATAATAGTAATGATAAAATTGAATAGTCTTTAAATAACCACCAAAATAACATCATCCGAAAGCTGTGTCCACATAATACAAAGTTTAAAAGTACCTAAAATCCTTGACACTACCGTTACAAAGTACCTATACATTAAAAGTGCCTATACAAACCATCAAGTATATTTTAAATATTTTCCCAGAATAAAAATGTTCCCTCAACAATTTGAGTGTCACTTCTTTTCGAATTCTGTAATAAATCTTGAAATGTCGCTCAATAATCCCATCCCTCGTACCCAGTTTCTACAGTCTAAGCTTTCTTTCAGTTCCTCTCTTTTTTTTTTTTTATTCTACCGCAGCCCTTTTTCCGAAAACCCTCATCAATTTCAGGCTGGTCAGAGGTATCTATCAGGGCTACAGTTCAACGAGTACGGCTAAACAGAAGAAGAATGTGTCTAGTCACCGTTCAGATATCAAATTCGAACACGAGAATAAACGAACATTCGATTTGTGCTGTTTCACATTGAGCCGGTATCGATTTCTGTGTCCAGGAAAACGCGTTTGATGGTTGTCGTTTCGATAAACAATTTAATACGTCGATTTTTATTGGGTCA